CAACAATGCACGTAAGGTCTCTCTCTCGCTCGCTCACGCCACACATACACACGCCCTCCCGGTCCTCCCAATAGCCAGTTGGTGCCTGCCGGTGAGCGTGGAAGTGTGGTCTGCCACAAGCGGGCGGCAGGAGCGGGGCTGTCAGCATCAGCTTGTAGATGGTATTTTAAAGTCGATGCGCTCTGAAACTACGGGGCGGCCGAGAAAAAAAAAATACACATGCGTTAATCGCGTTAAAATAATTAGTGGCGTTAATTTTTTTTTGCGTTAACTTGACAGCCCATATATATATATATATAAGACATCAAAAAGTGCATTTTACATGATAGGTCCCCCTTTAAAACGCTGCGTCAAAGCAGTTAGCCAAGATAGCATTGTATGGTTTCTCTTCTATTTTAGAGCCCAATCTAATAGTAATGAAGACCTGCCCTGGAATGCCAGTTTAAAACAACTATTTCTTGATAGAACATGAAAAGGTCACCACAAAAGACAATAGTAGTGTTTGACTTATATACTATATATGGAAAATCTGTCGTTATCGCGATATCAACATTCACTGTATATGTATCGCGTATAAGACTGCAATTCATGTTCCATGCATTTACTCTCTGCAATTTCTTAATGTCTGCATAGGCTACAGCTGGGGGCTATGTTGGCACTGAATCTGCAGAAAGTAGAGATGTCCCGATCACGTGATCGGGGATCGGAGCCGATCACGTGATTTTTAAAAGATCGGAATCGGGAGAAAAAGATCGGGGATCGGGAATCCTTAAAAAAAATATTTTATTTAATGTTACAAAACAAAAATGACCATGTTCACGTCTTAAAGTCATCCTGAGGCCTTAGTTTGGGTTTAAAATTACACAACATCATGTGTTGCTTCTTTTGGGCTTGTTTTCAGACCTGGTTGCTTATTTCTCTCAAATCTGGCAACAGAGTGGGCGCAGTGTCTAATAGTAGCAGCAGTAAGCTAACGAGAGGCTACGTTCAGCTGGTGACTTGGGAGTCGGGACAGAGCAAATGTCAGGAGTTTGGAAGTATTATAAAATTGAAAGCGAAGGCAGTGTAACAGCCAGATGCAATGTTTGCAAGAAGGAGGTTCCGCGTGGTGGAAAGAACAGAGCTACGTTCAACACGACCAATCTAATACGATTGTTTGTTTTTTCATTTTTTCCCCCGTTTAAAAAAAAAAATAGAATTTATTGAAATCTCCAATATCAACGTAAGAGCTTGTGCCTCTTCGGGGGGTGCTAACACTTAACCATAAACGTTATCGTTTACTTTCTCCGTCTTTATATGTAGATATTATTTTTCTCCGTTAATCTCCGTCACGTTGTTTCCAAAGCAACAACAACTTCCTGTCAACAGCGCTACCTCTCCTTCAAAATAAAAGCATGTCCACAAATAGGAAGCCAAGACAAATTACACTTAAGACATATACAACCGCAACGAAAGTAACCAACACAATGCAATATCCTTTTCAATTTCAAAGAACACAAATTGGGTTACATTAACAAATAACTATAAAACAACAATACTGTAGAATAACAAAAAATAAGTGGTTTGCTGCTGATTACTATTGAATTGTGTTACTCCAGTAAGATGGAAATATAATACTTTGTTTATTCATGTTATGTTAAGCTGCTGTTGTTCATTGCATTAATACTAGACTAGTTAGTCTTAAGGCTAGAATTCTGCACTAAGCCACATTTTTATTTTATTATTTGTGACTGAATGTGAACTTGTGAAGCTAGTCAAGCTACCTCTTTCCAGTAGAGTTATTTTTGTTTTGTTACTGCACTATCTGCACTCAATTTGTTTACATGGTTATTTTGTGGTGGACCACTGATAAGCTTTATTTTGTTTTGATCCAATGCTGCACAACTGAACTGATCCAATGCTGCTGTGAAAAAAAGAAGCTATATCCATGTTGGATAGAATGGATAGTTGGGTACTGTCATTTAAATAAAAAAATAACCTTAAGGGACAACTTGAATGCTTTTTTTTCTCTTAATGCATTGCATGAAGATCGGATCGGGAAAAATCGGTATTGGCAGATTGTCAAAATCAAATGATCGGGAGCAAAAAAAGGTGATCGGGACATCCCTAGCAGAAAGACATTCACACTTTATTTTTAAGTATTTGTTTATCACAAGTGATATTTTCATCGCGATATTCAACAGTGTTATCACATGTTTTATTTTTAATACAACTTAAAGGGGACCTATCATGCAAAATGCACTTTTTAATGTCTTTTATACATAAATATGTGTAAATAAAACCCTTTCTCTTTTCCTCCATACCCAAATCTTTTAAAAACGGGGGTACAACGGAGCTGATCCAGATTTTCGTCCGATATGACGCAATATCGAAAATGTGGACCCACGGCATCAGAAACAATGCCCGACTGTTTTGGACGTAATATGGTCGGTGTTCAGTGTTTCCCCCAGGACGGAGTCATAGCAGCGGTGCTAAGGCACGTGGGCCCAGCATAATGTGAACATTGGTGTGTGCAAGTGCGAAGTGCACCCCGCCAATTTGTTTCTATGTGTCTGCCAGCACAAGAAAGGCTCTTGAGGCCTAGTACCAGGGCCGGTTCTAGCCAATTTGCTGCCCCATGCGAGATTTTATATATAAAGAATAAATGAAAAATCTCTACAAACGACAAATACACTACAAAAACAGAAACTTATTGACGTAGGTAATATACGTCAAAATGGCTTCAAATGTATTTAGTATTGTATGAACATGTTTGAATTGGGGGGTGGACGTCACATCCTCTAGGGGGGTCCGGGGGTCTTCCCCCCCGCGAAGATTTTTTTGAACATTTTAAAGTCAGATGCTTCAATATGATGCACTTTGAGCACATAATTACTAGAGACCTGATCTAGGGGGTACAACTCTAAAACACCCATTTGAAAAAGATCGGTTTACATTTTAATAATCAAATAAGTATATGAACATAACCAATAACCTACCATAGCCAATAACAAATACATGTCACTTATTTTATTTTTGTTCATTCATATCTTATTTTACCTAGTTAATATTTATTTATGCATATTTTTGTAAATCTCCAACTTAAAACAATATTTTTGGTTTACTGTCCTATAGTATACATTGGAATGATTTCAAACCTGTTTTTATTTATCCTAATAATTATAAAGGACTGCCTTGGAAATATGTGTTTACATAATTGGTGGTCAAAACGTTTGAGACCCACTGAGATGACTTAGACTAAAATTAACTATCTAAACACTCAGAGTCCTTTACCTCACTGAGCCTCTCAGTCTATCTACTTCTTATATCCGTTAGCGCAGCTAGCACCAGATTCTAATAACAACAGCGCCGGTACCGGTGTGCCCTCTCTCGCTCGCTCCCACGCTCGCACTTTGGCTGTGAGCTGCGGGCGCCTGATAAGCCAACATCCCCCACTTTCATCACTTACAGCGCCCATCGTACAGGGCAAATTAAAAGTGTAACCGGGGTGTAAAGGGTGTTACATTTACTTAATTATGAATGTTGTTACATTAAGGTCAAAAATTAGGATGAGCGGCAATGGTAAAAAAAAAAAAAAAAATCCCCTCCCAGAGCTACCAGCGCAGCGCCCCCCAGATCTGGCGCCCTAGGCGACCGCCTATACCAAAAATCGGCCCTGCCTATTACATACAGTGGCAATGTCTCAAGATTTTGCAAAAAATACACCTTTATTGAACATACAGTAACACAAATACTACAAATCCACATAACAAACAATCAAAAATGAAAAAGGGTCGCCACTTATTATTTATTTTTTTGGGTACCTGGCTGGTGCCCCCTTGCAGCGGCGCACATATTTCAGCAGCGGCGCACATATTTCAGCAGCGGCGCACATATTTCAGCAGCGGCGCACATATTTCAGCAGCGGCGCTGCGCGGCCACTATTTGTATATAGGAGAAACACTGGTGTTTACATTAGCATCGCTAACACTCAGAGCTAACCTGTACTGGAGAGCATGTGTGTGAAGAAGCTGGATATAAAAAGGAACACACCTTGTGGTATAACCGGCAAGAGAGAAAGCCTTTGAGCTCCATACTGTTTCATAAATAATCCTTGATAATCCATGATATGGCTTTCACGTTTCATCACGGCAGTATTTAGTTTAGACAGTGGCTGCCGGTTCCCGCAAGAGCTCAGCACCCTCCTTTTTTATTTTTTATCGCTTTATACCCAAAATCAGCACTTTTGAAATAGAGGGATATGAGGCATGGCTAGAATGGGTGATCTGTTCAAATATTTTTAGCAAAACACTTCATAGGCATGTTTTTTATACATCTGAGACCTATGCTATTGCCTAAAAATAGCATGATAGGTGCACTTTAACTTAATCTCAGATAGAATTCTGATCATACATTAGCTCTGCCTCCTCCTCTTTTTTTTTCTCTAACAGGGCTGGAATAGAGGGATATGAGGGATTTCTAAAATGCATGATCTGTTTGTATTTTGAGCAAAACACATCATAGACATGTTTTTATATATCCGAGACCCATAATATATGCCTTTGAAAATAGCATGATAGGTGCACTTTAACATTTGTTTTTCTTTATGTTGCATGTGTCAGAAATAAAGACTTGTAATGCAAAAAGTGCCACATTATGGTAGGTATGAAGGAAAACACAAATAATAAATACAGAGCCCTGAGTACAGGCATTATGGAGAAGGAGTAGCATTTCGGAAACCGGCACATCACCTTTTCAGAATTTCGGCATCAACATAGTACGAAAGTATTTGTTGACGTGACACTATTACTTACAAGCATAAAACTCAAACTATCTAAGAATATGTAGAACCATGTACATAACACAGATGGAGGGGAAATTGAGCATAAACAATTTGGTAGGTTGGATCAGTATTTAGGGGTTTTCCAGTGTTACACATTTTGATATAATTTTTGAAAGTTTCAGGATGTAAGCCACAGAAATAATGAATTGTCCTATTTTCTGTGTGTTTATTTGTACAGATATTGTTCCTTCCCGAATTATGCTGGTGGAGCAATGTCCACCTGTGAATCATCAGGAGATTGAGAACACTCTGCACGACCACAACTATGAGGGAACTACTCAAATGGCCTTTATAGTTGTCAAACAGGAGGTGTGTTTGTATTAAAAAAAAATCAAAAATGTTTTTTTTTCATCTATGTTGTCTTGTTGAAATTAAAAAAGTAATTCCTCTGCCGCAGGATTCCTATGATTCTAAGTCGCATTCCGTCGTTAAGCAAGAGGAAGTGGAGCAAATGGTTGTCTGCGGGCAAGTTTCAGGTGATCAACCAGGTAATGAGTTAAAACTAACTGTTATTTTCTTAACTAGTTTGAAAGATTGCCAGAATGTGTCAAGGTTTGCTCCTTACCATTCTCCCTTTATTCTTCTAATGTTTCCTCTAAAATGTCTCTTTCACTGATAGATTCACCCCAGGCCTCTGCTTGTGCAACTGAAATTGGAGGGCGTCTCGTTAACCAGGAAAGTTCAACTGGAGAAATGCCCACGCCCCAAGAAGAGACCCCAGTAGCCCTAGAACAACCCTGTTTGGGAAGTAATGGTGGTCTACAAGGAGCTCAGAACCAATTGCCTGAATTGGTGACTTCAATAGTCTTCTCACTTGCTTCCATAAACAACAACATAGAAGAAGATTCTGAAGTAAGTCAAAACATATCAGCAACGCAGGGAGAACTCGTAAAAACTGGAAAGCCCCAATCGGTGGTTGCTCATAATGAATCAGAGGTTGAACCTCTTCAAGAAGAGCAACCATTAGTGGTCAACGTACAATGTCCAAAGGAGAGCAAAATAACAGTAAATGAACAGGCTGATGTTACTCCTAAAACTACAGGGAAACAAATACGTGCACCACGTAAACAACTCAATAAAGGAAAAGCATTTGAAGAATCAAAAAGTGGCGACGCTGAGGGTAGTTCCCAGCCTGAGTTGCCAGTGCCACGTAGAAGAGGACGGCCGCCAAAGCAAGCCAAAAATCAGCAACAGCCTATGAAAGAAAATGGTTCTCCGACTTTTTCAGTACCATCTGTAGGTACAAGATGTTCCTCTAGAAAGGGTAAAACCTCTAAACCTCAACAACTCTCCATGGAAAATGAAAAAATATTGATTCAAACTCCATCCACTGAATCTTTATCTTCAATTGAAACATTAAACCCTCCTGAAGATCAGCCCAGAGAACGTTGTAGCTCTGTAACTCTTCAGGATGCAATGCTATTAGTTGAAGCTATGAATCAGTCAACAGTGGATGTGGCAGCACCCGCTAAGACCCAGAGTGCTTCTCTTGTGGGCATCCTACAAACTGTGGACGAGGTCGCAGCAGAGCAACAGACACCACCGCTTTCTGTTGAAACATGTAAAGCTGCATGCAAGCTGGCTGTTACCGAGCTCTCCACAAAGGACCAATCGACAATAGAGAAACACAATGACTCTCCTGTGAATTCTGATATAACTCCGACCAATGAGCTTCAGTCCAACATCAACTTTGTCCTACCAAAACAACAACATAAAGTAATTCCATCTAAACCTACTATATCTTCAATTCCCTTAACACATGTTGAGGTTCAAAGCATTATGCGGGCACTTCAACAGCAATCTTCTGCTTCTCCGGTAACATCAGTAGCAACCAGCAAAAGGATCAAGTCAGTCTCTCGTAAAATAATTGCCATACCAAGATCATTATCCTTCTTAAAACCTCCTAAAATAGGAGCACCATCTCCCTCCCAGCCTCCTACTGTTGTGTCAACAGTTGTTGCTGCACAGAAGAAGAGTATACTTCCAGACTCCTTAACTGCCGGCTTGCTTCTCGGAACCCCTTTTAAAGCCTCTCTTCCTCAGACAACAGTAGACCCTGCGTCCGTGAAATTGGTTTCTGCTGACCCTTCACAGTCAACCACAACCGCAAAAGACTCATTGTCAGGGCCAACACAACAACCTCAAGTCACAATAATAATTCCAAGAGAAGTGTCAAGGCTGCTTCATTCACAGACCATCATTCCGAAAACCAAGCAAGATACAGCCAAATCAGATGCTCTTGTTACACTGTCATCGCCCAATTTGATTTCACCTTCACATGAGTTAAGGATTATTGTGAATCCACAAATTGCTTCAGAGGAAGACACCAACGTGTTGTTTCAAAACAAGAGTGAAACATCGGAACCTATTTTAGAATATCCCCAACAAATAGACTCCGTTTCTGAGCTAATAAAAGCACCTACAGAAAACATTCCCAGTTTAAACGCATCAGAGGAGCCAGTGCCTACCTCTGTGCCTCCAGTGATAATGCAAACTGTTGCACAGAAACTCTCTGCCGTGGTCAGATTAACCAGGCTCTCATTTCCAATATCAGCCAAAGAAGCAGTGAAAGTCTCTAGACTGCCTACAGATGGATCTTCTGAAAACTTGAAGGAAGGTATCACAAAAGAGAAACCATCATCTGTGGTTATGTCAACGAAGCCATCAAAGACGCTTGTGTCATCCACTGAGTTATGTCCTGGATTAAAAGAAACTCCTGTTCTTCTGCCTGTGAATATCTCTCAGATGGCAGAAAAGCCCAAAGGTATTCAAGAGAAGGCATCATTATCCTCTGAAGGCAGAACACCTTCCGAGGTGTCAACACCAGACTTTGAGAACTCAACATTGGCCCCCAACACAACACCTACAGAAAATAAATCATCGGCTGACATCATGCATCTAACTCCAATCGCCACCGAGGACATGTCAACTCCTCATTCATGGATGACTAAAGCCCAGTTCCTTGCACAGCTGGCAGTGACACCTGTTACGAAAGACCCAACAAAGGTATGTTAAGAGTTATCACTCGTTTGTCGGTTTATCAAATCCATTGTCTCAAGGATAAAGTACTATTACTAATTCTACATGTTCGGAAGAACGCCTTCCATGGGAAATAATAATTAACCAGACTGTAATGGTGTTGATTGTTTGGGCATCAGTCTGTCATAATAATTTAATTATTGACCTGTCTTCAGACATATGGTCATGATCTCATTCATTTTCCTGTTATCTACTCATTGTGCAATATATTATAATCACATCAATAATTTTTACCTTATCGACTTACTGTACAATCTGATCATATGACCTCAATCATTGTTATATTAACAAGTAATTTAACGATATATGGATACAACCTTGATCATTTTTTGCGCCGTATTTGTATATGTCAATTAGAGATCGACCGATATGGCTTTTTCAAGACCGATACCGATTATTAGTAATCAAGGAGACCAATAACCGATATTTGGAACCGATATACAGTTGCAGTAAAATCAGAAAATCTTGGTGTCAAAATGTAGAATAATAGAACTTCTATGAAATGCCTTTTTACATTTAATGAACTTTTCAACATCTTAAAACTGGTTTCCTCTCTGTGACCCTGAGTAAAGTAAAGGAAGTAAAAATAAAATAAAAACTACTAAAACCTGTTCTGAACTTCTGATATTTGAGTCTCACTCATTTAGTAGTCCCAATTCAGCAGCACCAGATTGTGGTGCAGAAAGCAGAGTTGCTGCGAGGCTCCACTAGCAGCACGTCACAGTTTCTCCGCTGTGAGACGCTACCCGCCCCCCCTGTCCCTTTGTAACTGGGAAACTGATAGAATTGGATCATTAGATCGTGGTGTTTTTGCAACTTCGGCATAGGGGATTGGGATGTTTATTGAATTTCGGCTTTCAACTGATTTATCTTCGAAACACCGCTCACTGCTGCTGCTTGCCTCTGTCTGTGTCTGCGTTCTTCGCACCTGCCTGTAATCTAAGAAGGTCCCGCCTCTCTGGCTGGCTGCAGCCCGGAAAATCTTCAGTGTTGATTGACACTTCAGTAATAGCCTATCAGATAGCGCTGTGGGCGGGACATTGCTCGTGAACAGTGGTGACTGCAGCCAGAGAAACGGCCGCATCAGAGCCAAAGTCGTATCGGCAATTTGATTTTAAAAAAGCCGATACCGATAATCTATAAAATGCGGAATATCGGCCTCGATAATCGGTCGACCCCTAATGTGAATGACAAATATGTTCCAAGCACCCATGAAAAAGAAAATCTGGGCTGGGCTAAGCCCCCAATGTTTCAAGGTCCTAACTACGCCCCTTGTATTACTTGTGAAATGTTGGGTGTGAATGGTAACATTGGTGTTTATTCACTGGCCTGAAATGTTCCTCACAATGGCCTTGGATGTTTAAGGAGCACCTTAATATATTTCTTGGCTACTCTTGCAACTTTTTGCTAAATTTCTTTCTTTATCTTTCCTTTTTATTATAGGCTTCCTCTGAGGACTCCCTGGATGCCACAGCTTCCTCTGAAGACACCATAATTGGTGACAAGAAAAGGTTCCACAAAAAATCTATTTTGGACAAGCTCCAAAGTCATCTCAAAACTCGCTTGCAAACTCAAAGATCTAAAATTAATCCATGCAAAGAAACAGAAACCAGCGCTATAAGGCCTATAAATCTTAGATCAAAAAATGACAGTCCAGCCAATAAAAACACAACAAAAAAATCAATTTTCCTGATGCCAAAAGACTCAGGATTGGTTAAAGATGTTACATCTCCAGCCAGGAAATCTGTTTACCCTGTTCCTTGTATTCCCAGGAGATCTGGACAATCTGGAGCTAGTGTTGGATCCAAGAGGACTTTTAGTGATCCACTGGTCAGTTCTAAGAGGTTTAAGGCTACTAGAGAGTCCACTCCTTTGACTCGCCGGTCTACAGGGGTAGATGTTGGCTCCACAACTAAAAAATCCACTTCTCTGAGTCCTAGGATGTCTAGCTTTACTAAACAAAGTGCTAGCTCTAAAACGGATAAATCAACTTCCATGGGTCCTAGAAAATCTATATCAATTAAAGAAAGTGCTAGCCCTAAAAACAGAAAATCAACTTCTGTCAGCCCTAGGAAGTCTAGCTTAAGTAAACAAAGTGCTAGCTCTAAAACGGATAAATCCACTTCCATGGGTCCTAAAAAATCTATCTCAATGAAAGAAAGTGCTAGCCCTAAAATCAGAAAATCAACTTCTGTCAGCCCTAGGAAGTCTAGCTTAAGTAAACAAAGTGCTAGCTCTAAAACGGATAAATCCACTTCCCTGAGTCCTAGAAAATCTATCTCAATTAAAGAAAGTGCTACCCCTAAAAAGACAAGATCCACTTCTGCAAGTCCTATAAAGGGTAGCTCACCTAATGAAAGTGTTGGCTCAAAAAAGACTGACAGCATTTCTGTGCGTCCTGGGAGGATTAGTTCAACTAGAGATGGCGCTAGCAATAAAAGTTCTGAAACCACTTCTGTGGACCCAAAGAGGACTACTTTAAATAAAACTGGCACTAGCCCTCAAATTATCTTGAAGGAGTCGCCTTCTTTCTGCCGTAGAAAATGTACCTTACCTAAAGATGTTACTACCAGTGCACAGATTCAAGGGGAAACCAATTCCTTCAGTCCTGGGTATAAAATAACTATAACAGACGAGGCTAGTACTAAAGAGGTTAAGTTGAACCCTGGTTCCCCAAGTATTAGGTGGCCTAAATTGGCTAAAGGTTGTGTCAGTCCTAGAAAGACAAGGGAATCTACTCCTGCAAAAAAAAAAAGATTAAGTCCAGATGTTACTGGTCCTAAAAAAAAATTAAGAGTGGTGAATGCCAACAAGTTGGCTAAAGCAGCAAAAGCCAAAACAATGGCAAAAATTAGAAGTTCCAGTCAATCCAAGTTGCAGAATGGAGCTAAAACAAGCCAGTCAGCAGAGAACAGTGACACTGGGAAAAGAATTACAGCTAAAGCCACCTGGACTCCTCCCAGATTATCAGACGAAAAAACACCTCCTGCTGTGGAGAAGAAAGAGACAAAATCACCCAAATCCCAGAATCAACCGCTAGTTTTCCCTCCAAGTGTTTCTCTCTTCCCTATACCTGTCAGAGGACCTACTGTTATGTCACCATTACAGCCTTTATCAGTCATTGGTAGGCGTCTGCTCAAGAACCAGTGTGGGCAGTGCGGCCGTGTCCTCAGCAGCGTTGCAGCCCTAGAAAGCCATGTTCGTCTCCACACTGGGCACCGACCCTTCTCGTGCACGCTCTGTGGGAAGGGCTTCCCAGACTCGAAATGTCTCAAACGCCATGCACGGGTTCACCGCAATGGTAGGATCCATGTCTGCCCACAGTGCGGGAAGGGATTTGTCTATAGTTTCGGCCTCACCAAACACCTCAAGATGGTGCACAGGAGGATCAAGCCTTTTGTTTGCCAGATCTGCAACAAAGGGTTCTTCACAAAACGAGATGTGGAAGCCCACCTACGGATGCACACTGGAGAGAAACCATTTCATTGCAACCTCTGTGAAAAGAAATTTGCAAGGAGGGTAGAACTTAATATGCATTTAAGGTGGCATAATGGGGAGAAGAGACACTGGTGTTCATACTGTGGGAAAGGATTTCTAGACTCCAATAACCTGAAAAGGCATAAGTATATTCACACAGGGGAGAAACCACATGCCTGTCCTCACTGTGATAAGTGTTTCAAGCAGTCAGGCCACCTGAAAAAGCATGTCAAAAATGTTCATAAAATCCCATGAGAGATGGACATCCAATATGCCACCCTTTTCTTCTGAGGATGTTATTGGCTTTAAGAAGGCTTCAATATCACTTCATTTAAGGAGATAAGCTCTTTTACATTCTTACCAAGAGTTCATTTGAGTTTAGTTAAAAATATTTCAACAAATAATTTCCTTTCAATTTTGTGAAAGTACAAGTGATATCATCCTTACTTGCAAGCTCACATTAAAACATTGGGGCTGCATTCGAAATAACATACTTTATTCATGAATCCGCTATGCAAAGGATTGTGGCTGAGAATAGCCAGAGAAGCATTGCTGCAAAAGCAACTGGACATTTTTAAAAACCTTAATTTTAAGTATTCTCACAGCAGATATGTTCAAATCGCTTGATGTTGTAATATCACTTGATTTTTTTTAAAATTATTTATTCATTTTTCTTATTTTAATTGCTAGCAAACATAAAATTACGGAACTATTACATAAAGACTGGTTTTCCATTTTCTTTGTGAACATTTTGTAAATACCAAAAAAGGCAATTGTAAGTATTTTATCTGCTAGATTTTGATTCTTTATATTGTTTCTTTCTTTTATTGCCTTGATTTTGACGACTGTTACAAAAAAAAATCGATATGGGTTAACATTGTACTGCTTGGGCAATAATGTAACACCTACGACAACAATTTAAAATTGTGCTTTCACACTGGACAAGAAACCAATGAAGCCATCCCTGAAAAAGACAATGAATGTACGGCCATTGTTTTTATACAGCTCGGTATGACCACACATATTTCTCTTGAGGTGAAACGATTTATTTTTTCAAATGTTCTGTATGGTCTTAACACGCCAAAAGAGGATGTGTCCATTTCCCACAAACATCAGAGCACTGTAACACGACTTAAGCGTTTATCTCTGTCCATTAGAGTCTAAACAAAACTTTTTCTTTCAAGTGTTTCAAACATTGTTTACGAAAAAATACTGATTTAATGTCGTATTTTTGCGGAATTCTCCTTTTTTGATTTTCTTATATTGCCATTGTGTCGCACACTGTTTTATTTTACAAGGGACAGATTTCATGTTACATCTTTTGTACATGTATTTTTCTGCCTGCATTACATTTTCTGAAAGTGGATACTACCCCTTGAACAACTCCCTGACAACAATGGCCAGCCTTCCTTTGAGAATTCTAAACCTTTAGTTTTAATTCATTTGATTACTATGTATATTTCCTTGGTGTGTTGTTTTTTGTGTCATTGAGAAAGCAGATAATAAATATAGGTGTCATACTAAACTGCTCCTTTGCCCTTTTTTTGTCTGAATGAATGTGACTTTTTTTTTTAAAAAAATCAATATGGCCGATGCATGACAATGGTATAATTCTACAATGGGAACGTTTCCCTTTTAAATCGTTCGAAAAAACATGTCAAATTAATAAATACTTTATCCACAATTCATTTGGTAATTTTCACTTTTCCATAGGTACAAAAGAGTAGGCCAACTTGTAATTCTTAATTTTGGCAAGGAACAAACTAATGTGCTGTTTGTCAATAAATATTAGCATAGGAAGGCTTATGGCTGAAAGTTGGCCATACAATTAAAAGTCTTAACCCTCCTATTATCCTCAGATTTACTTATATATATATATATTAATAAATCACCATAAAATCTCACTGACTGAAATAAAATGTTAAAGTAAGATCTTTTTGATGTTGTTAAAGGACCAATAACTAAAGCAGAGGGTAGTTTTGTTTTACAATGATACATTTGCATGTAATAGTCACCTCAATATCATCCTAGACAATCAACACAAATATGTGTAACATATTTAAATGTTTTAAACTACTAAAACCGCCTGGGGTCAAATTGACCCCAAGGAACACCGATGCGTACAATGTGCATACAGGACATTTAAAAAAGATGTTATGTTTACCCATTAGTCCGTGTCACTACCCGATCTGCAGTGCGCATGTGCGAGATGGTCCGCCATATTGAGGAGAGAGAGAGAGAGAGAGAGAGAGAGAGAGAGAGAGAGAGAGAGAGAGAGAGAGAGAGAGAGCGATAGATAGAGATGAGAGATAAGCGATATAGCAGAGAAGTGCCTCACCTTACCACACAGTAACTGGCTTGAGCGCGCTCACAAAATAAGTGCCCGCGCTAAATTAGTACCCGCGCTCCAGCAAGTTACTGTGGGCTTACGTGAGGCAGAGCTCGTCCCTGCCTCACACCTCATCGCTCCCATGTAGTTGTAGCGGAGCTCGGCAAATTTGCTGATTTTGACTATAAAAAGCGATTGGAATCATACAGAAATCACATTTACAACACAGATCAGTGGAGACATTTTATTATTATTACTATTTAGTTTTTCTTTAGTTGTTTTTCCGTTACATTTTAGTATGGCCAGTCTATGAGTATGACAGGTGAGGCTCTGCCTCCCCTGCCTCCCCTGACTGCACGTCGCTGATATATATATATATATATCTTAGCTTGACATGCTCAACGTTCAGTTAACTTAGCATATATGCTAACTGAACATGCATGTACTCTAATTTTTACAATAATCTGATTTTATGTAAGTTTTAAATATTAATTGAAGGTGTCTTTCACATTTGAATGTTTTGTATTTAAAACATGTATTAGCTCCTATACTGTAGACATGTAAATATGTATAATTATTATTTTAAGTGTGGTTTAAAGTTAAATGGTAGTTATTGGGTAGAGCCAAGTAACCCAGGTGGATGCAATCAGGTAATTAGGACAGAGCCTCTGTTTTTAGATGGGGTTTATGCTGTAGGCCTGACATTTAAACTAGCTGAAGGGCTTTCTGTTCGAACCACAGTGAAATCTAGAGGTTGTTTTGTGCATTAAAGGGTTACCTTCTGAAAGTCAGGAAGTATGACCAGCTTTGTCCCATAGGATTATACAGGCCAGTCCATTGCTGCTTGTTTAAGGAGTTAACTATTTCCAATATTAAAGTCACTTAAATTGTATTCTATTTTATTCACCTATAGACAAACAACACAACACTCCGTGATGGAGCACGCCCAGAGCTCAACAAATTGGACTCGGACACCTTCCAGTGTCCATTTTGTGAAAGGACCGGGTCACACCCAGCTGTCACGTGTACATTATGTCTTGCATGTGCTAATAAAATTCTCATTACAGTATGCCTGGTATTTTGCCATGGAGGCCAGCTTTGACTTCAGCATTGTAAGTATTAAGGAAAGAAGTCACATTAAAATTCTATAGCAAACTTAATGAAAATTGATGCTCTTTCTTTAGCATGACATGTCTCTCCTGAGAAGGTGGTGGTGTGTTATCCTGGTGGAAAACTTTGGACTGGAAGGGTATGCTGCAGTGCTACAAAAACATTTGAATTTGTAATTGTATTATCAAGAAGATTTGGGGGGAACACCTGGCTCTAAAATTCAACCTTCTGGTGAAGAAAATGTGTCTTAATTGCAGGTATGGAAAGAAGTTTGCTCACTATAGTGAGGAAGGCAGGGCGACCCTTAGCGACAATGTCCCACGTACATTCAGGATCAGTCGTAAAAGGACGCATGCAAGCAGCACCATGGTCAGTGTATCGCTCAACGTATCTGACTCTGTGTGCCTGTTTCAGAATGGGTTACTACTCCTAAAACACATACTACATAGAACTTATGGTACATGCAACATTTGTTTTGTGTGGTACTGTGTCATTCTGAATCGAGCCTGGATCATTTTTGGAGGAGTTAAACCGTGCATGTAAAGCACTGTCAAAATAATGGTTGACTGTCTACAGATGCCCCTGGACACTGATGAGGACCACTCCTATAACAAGAGGCCTTACAGCTTCCTTCCTAAAGAGTCGGTTAGTGAATGGACACATTAAAGTGTACAACCCCTGATGCATGTGATTTTATAATATTACATATGACTTCTTTATACCATCTTGTCTTATCAGTGAGATGGAACTTTGTTCTCATGACCTCGCCAAGAACATGAGTGAGGAAGCGCACCAAAGGCTGAAGGACTTGTGAAAGATTCCGAGAAGTTTATTATTTATTCTATATTTTTTTAAGTTGACCAGCTCTGATTTTCCATTTGATGTTCTGTTCAATAAATGTTCATTGAGGAAAACGGTATCAGTGTCATATTTTATATACATCACAGTGAATGCTGAACTTGCCTGACCATATACTGCAGTTGAAAGTACACGATGAAACACTGGCTCAATCAATACAATTCCCACATGCTCTACCCCGGAACCTGCGGTCTTCAGACTCTGGCCCCCCGCACCAACCTGCGATCCTTCGGGGACAGAGCCTTCAGTATGGCAGCCCCCACTCTCTGGAACGCTCTCCCTGCGGAGATCTGCAACATCCCCACGCTTGATGCCTTCAAAAGGGCCCTCAAGTCCCATCTGTCTGCCAAGGCCTTTGGCCCCAAATCTATTTGTTGTTTTGTCTGACTGCCTTTTGTTATGTTTGTTTCTACTCTTGTTCTTCTTTTTAAAGGGACCTTGGGTCTCATGAAAGGCGCTATATATATCCTATTATTAATACATAATTGGTAAGCATTTTTACAATATTCTGGCTTTCACTGTTCAAATGAGATGTCAACCATCAAAATGGGATAAGGGGTTCCAAGGGGTTCTCAAACGGATAGGTTATTAATTGATTTGCCTAATAGTTGCTTAAAACGGATAGGTTATTAATTTATTTGCCTAATAGTTGCTTAAAACGCCTAATAGTTGCTTAAAACGGATAGGTTATTAAATTAGTTGCTTAAAATGCTACAATAACATGCCATGTACGGTCTCCACCGTAGGCGGCGTAGTTGTCGTCAATTCGCTTTTCATCAGACTTTCACTGTGCTCTCATGTCAAGAAGCATCAGATCAGTGCATGCACTGCCTCGTCCAATCAGTGAGCGATACACAGTAAGGGGGCGGGGTGAGTATCTGAGGATTTCATCGGAGGATGGTCTGGTGGTTCCTCGGTTATCGCTCCTCCATGATCGCTCCTCGCTCCTCGATCCTCGGTCCTCCGGCAGAAATAAGAGCCATGGGACGGTACTCAAGATGGCGCAGGGCAAATCAACTTCCGGTGAGACCGAGGACCAAGGAGCGAGGAAATGAAAATAGTCGACCTGAGAAGCAGCCCCTATTGCACTAAATAGGCTCTGTGCACAAGATGGCGTCTATCAACTTCCGGCGGCTGGGGGTGCGGCTGAGTACTTCCGGTTTGAGTACAGAGTTTTGACAGTTTGTTATGTCACACCGAGAGCAAGAATGAGCGGATTTCGGGGTAAAGAAAAGCGATTGGCCTTCCAGCGAAGTCGGCACTACATTGCTGTGTGCCCCTTTGTACAAATTCGTCCCGTTATCAGAATCAGAATACCTTTATTAGTTCCACAGAGGGGACATTTGCAGCGTTGAAGCAGGAAAGAGCCACAGACAGCTTAGTGTTGAATATCTTACATGTGTTAAGTACTAAGTTATAATATAATAAACAATATGCTAAAAATAAAGATAAAAAACAAATCAAATCTACAAATCAAATCCTGTAGCAGTTCTTAGGATTTAGCAGCCCGGTATATATATTAGTTATTAAATATGGCATATGTATATATTGTACATAAAGCACATATTGCACATAGTTTGACGGTATTTAACAGCAGCAAGTTACACAATTTAATGTTATAATCGGGAGATAAGTTTCCATTCATTTCGGCAAGCCTGGGCAACAACGATTAAAAGATTTCTTGCTCCCAAACCAATTGTGTATTTCATTACAAAAAGCAGTTATACCATACTATGTTTAGGTACTAATGAATTATATCCTCAAAACAAATGCACACATAAATAACAAAGGAAAATACATATTTTAATAAATCCACAATATGATAACATTTTACAGATTAATTTAATAAACTTTTACAAAACATAGGTTGATGTTATATCGGGGGGAAAAATACATATTTAAACATTTCAATTAGTCTGCATATTTAAGTAATGCTAGTTTATATAACAGATGAACAGATGTACAATATCCAGAAAGTAAATGCAAATAATATATATAATGTGTGCATTTCCAACATATCCTCTGAAAGAGTGTTAGTCGTTGAGTTGAGTAGTGAGCCATTCGTTTTTTTTTTTCGTGGTGCGATGTCTGCTGAGAAGTCCTTGTATGCCTCGCTGACTTTGAGGACATCTGGGTCTGGCAGCCCCCCCCCCCCCGCACGGCCTTGTAACGTGTACTCCTTTGAACATGTTTATGATAATTAGGACTTTAAGAACAATTTTACACTC